AGCTGCAGTTTGCTGACCACTGCCTTAGGGCTTAATACTCCTGAGGAACAATTTTCCTTTTGCCATAAAGAAATTGCACGGCCACTAAATTCATTAGCTGGTTATTAAAGTTTACACAATAAATTAAAACAATCTAAAACAAAACACAATAGATGGCATCAAAACATAAAAAACCCCTCAGCTTCAAATAAATTCTACTAAATCTTCAGGTCTCACTCATTCCGATAGTATTTATTGATCACCAGCTCTGACTGGCCCCCGGGGACAGAGGAATGAGACAGAGTCTGCATGCCAGGAGCTCGGGTACTTGCTGTTCTCTGACACATCCAGCCCACCATGCCCTCTCCCTTCGTTCAAGGCTTATAATTGCCTCACCACTCTCTCATTTTAGCATCTAATCATAATCTCTTTTATGCTGCTGCATTTGTACATGCATTATTTTTAGTGAAATGAACTCCCGGGAGGCAGAGTTCATGTCTTTCATTACTATATATATATTCCGCCCCCACATCCCTGTCTTTAAACTTGAGAATTTTAAGATAGGCTTGTAAAGAAAAATAAATGTGATCTTAGGATATGTGGCTGTACAAAAAAAATCAACAAATATAAAGTACCTTTTACTATAATTAAAAAAAATCCACGCCCTCTGCATTTATCTCTATGTACTTCAGCATAGAAAGGTCAAGAAATTTAAAGAGCCGGGACTGGTTTGGCTCAATGGATAGAGCGTCCGCTTGGGGATTGAAAGGTCCCGGGTTCAATTCCGGTCAAGGGCATGTACCTTGGTTGCGGGCATATCCCCAGTAGGGGGTGTGCAAGAGGCAGCTGATCGATGACTCTCTCTCATCGATGTTTCTAACTCTCTATCTCTCTCCCTTCTCTTTACAAAATCAATAAAATAAAAAATAAAAAATAAAAAAAAATAAAGAATGCCACTGGCTGGGATGCATAATTAAAAAAAAAAATTTAAAGAGCAGCCAAAATTATCAAGAGGGGGAACTGAAGGACAATTATAATAGCTAATTATCTTAGGTGAATAACTGTGGGGGGAAAAGGTACAATCCGGCTGTCTGCTCCATTAGAACACTAAGGATAGTTTTGGATCATTTTCATGGTGATTGCAGAACTGGGGGGCAGGAATACCTTCCTGGACAGCATTCTAGGGGACTGGAAACTAGGAGACCGGGTAACATAGTCTAGTCTCCATGCTTCAGGAGAATTATACTGGGCTTTATTCCAATCATGACTGTCATAGACTAGATGGGGTCTTTTTGTTGTTGATCCTCATCGGAGGATATTTCTTCCATTGGTATTTTAGAAGGGCCATGGGAGGGAGGAGAGACGGAAATCCATGTGAGACACATCCACTGTACTCCCACAAGTGCTGGGCTGGGGATTGAATCTGCAACCGAGGTATGTGCCCTTGACTGGAATCGAACCCAAGACCCTTCAGTAAGCAGGTGGACGCTATAATCACTGAGCAAACGGGCTAGGACTAGATGGGGGAGGGGGGTCTTATAATGAGGAATTGCCATAAGAGTAAGAGGGCACTTCAATGAGGTCACACTAATTTAGTTAGAGAAAATTAAGGCTAAAGAAGGACGATCATATATCTATGATTATGAATGGCATATAGCACACATTGAGCCCAGATGTTTATCTCACTCAAATGAAATGCTTGGCCAAAGATGCCTTTACAAACATGAACAAGGTACCTACTCTGCGTCAATTATAAGGGAAAACATCACACAGTAGGTGGTCTAATAAAGCGACTGAGAACATGAGCTCTGGAAGTCAGCGTGTCTGTGTTCATAACCCAGCTCTGCCTCAACTGAAAACTGGAGGTAATGACAGGACACGTCTCACAAAACTGTGGTGAGGATTATAACCCTGGCCAAGTTCTCGGAAAAAAGGGTCTGGCACATGGTAAGCTTTCAATAGTTGCTAGCTATTAATATGCTCCTAGAAGTCAGAAAACAAATTGATTTTTTAGAGGCTCATATATATTTAGGAATGGGAAATCAATATATGGCTATTAATAGAACTAGAACATATCCAACTTTAAAGTTAGCAATGTCTGGATGGGATGAACCAGGAATGCAATGCACAGTTCTCCTAAGTGTTCAAATCTAGAAAATAATGACTATTAGCTTTGGTAACCCTTACCTTCATTACTTTTGTAAAAGGCATAAAAGCAATATGGTAAAAAAAAAAAAAAAAAAAAAAAAAAAAAAAAGGTGGAGAGAGAGAGAGATCATTAAATTTGGCTACTTCTTCCTCAGGGTTAAATTCCCAACTTAAAAAGTCACTACTCCCATAACCCTTAAAGTGGCCGCGTTTGCTTCCTGGATAGCCCAGCACTTACCACAATTTTTAATTATTTTATTTGCTTATTTATTTTTAATGTCTTCCTTAAATAGCTCCATGATGACAGAGTATCTGTTGATTTTGTAATCCTTAGTGAAGTTTACCACATGAATGGCATGTAGTAGGCACTCAATAACTACTTGCTGAATGGATTATGAAACAATGATCTGTAAGGCCCCTTTCAGCTAAAATCAATAACTATTAGATATTAGGTAATAGAAACAACAACCACAACATTACAAAGGGAGAGGCTTTTAATTTTGGGTCTAGGAAATATTTAACGCTTCACTACGCTCAAACTAACCAAATGGCTCCATTCCAAGAATTTTAGTTAGAACTTGACTGATGCAATCTCTTAGGAACTAGCACTCTCCCAAGGGTGCTTTCAGATTTGCCTTACTAATCTTTTTTATTGACCCTCACCCTTATATATGTTTACTGATTTTTTAGAGAGAGAGGAAGTGGGGGAGGGAGAGGGAAGAAGGAGGAGGGGAGAAGAGAGAGAAACTTCAATTAGTTGTCTCCCAAACATGTAGTTGCCTCCTATACATGTACATGCCCAGACCCGGGATTGAATCTGAAACCTAGGTATGTGCCCTAACTGGGAATCTAACCAGTGCATGCGACAATGCTCTAACCTACCGAGCCACCTGGCCCGAGCTGTCTTAGTAATTTTACAATCTAGGCCCAATTTCTGTCTAATAATTGATCAGTCACATATATTATCTGAGGAGCTTTTTATTTTTTTAAAAAAATATGTTTTTATTGCCCAGTCATTGTGACTCAGTGGTTGAGCATCGATCTATGAACCAGATCAGAGTCCGATTCCTGGTCAGAGCACAGGCCTGCCTGGCTTGATCCCCAGTAGGGGCCATGCAAGAGGCAGTCAATCAATTATTCTTTCATCACTAATGTATCTCTCTTTCCCTCTCTGAAATCAATAAAAGTATATTAAAAATGTTTTTTTTTAATTGATTTTGGAGAGAGAGGAAGGGAGAGAGAGAGAAACATCAATGGGCTGCCTTCTGACCGGCCCCAACCAGGGATCAAGCCCGGAAACCTAACATGTGCCCTGACAGGGAATCCAACCAGTGACATCTCTGTGCATTGTCCCACGCACCAGGAGGTTGTTGGTTGATTCTGGTCAGGGCACATGCCTGGGTTGTGGGTTCGATCCCCAGTAGAAGCATGTCCGAGGAAATGTGTGGGAGGCAGCCAGTTGATGTTTTCTTTCATCAATGTTTCTGTCTCCCTCTCCCTTTCTCTCTATGAAATCAATAAATTTTTTTTTTTAAATACAAAATTTTGGATCAAAACTCCAGAAAAATCTTATTTGGTACTTGTGTAATGAGACTCTGGAATGTATGTATTTAAAACTTTGTTATTTTGAATAAATATATGTATGTAGTACACAATTCAAAAGGAACAGAAAAATTATAGCAAAGTTTCCCTTTCACTTCTGCCTCCCTGCTTCAAGTTCACATTTCCTTAAGTTGTCACTGTTACCAGTTTCTTTGGTATTCTTCCAGATAATTATTTGTCTAAGCAAGTATACTGTATATCCTTTGCTTACACACACAGTTGCATATTTCAAGAACTGTTCTAACTTTCCCCCCCCCAATTCCCATTTAACAATGTATGTTGAAAATGAAGGTGTCTTTGTCTTTTTCACAAGCCCCCCAGGTGGTTCTGAGGTGATGCTGAACATAGGAACCACTCAATGGCCCAGGGTTAAGGGGTTAAGTTCAACTCACATTAGAAATTCAAGGATACTGAAAAAGATGCCCTCAAAAATGGCCTGGCTTACTTGACCTCTGCTCTCGTCTTATGGCACATCAACTACAACATTCTCTAAATGTCTCCGTAAGCCAGGAAAAAAGTCATTCAAGTGGATGTTGCCAAAGCCGTTCCATTTTCAATTCCTGGAACCCTTTCCCGCCCAGTTATCACCTGAAACCACACACCTGACAAGCTCTGCGTTACACAAGGCACTGTGGTATCTGGGTTGGGATGAAGTTTGATTTACACTGATTCTCTCTGCTGGCAGTTACGCTCTCAGTGGAGCACTACTGCAACACTCCCCTTACTGGTCCTCACCGGGACCACGGCATCCCCCCTCACCCCCAGAACTGCTTTCTTCCATCGGGCTCCAGCAGACCGCCTTCACCGCCATGGAGGGGTCTGGCTGGGTCCCCGTGCGGCTCCAGCTTTCCCTCTCCACCTGCCCTGGAGGCGCAGGAAGTTTCCTTTGGCCGGAGGGCAGGCTCTCCCAGGGCCGCCCGAGGGTCTCCGCAGTGTCCCTTCCTCCGCGGGGCACCGCGCGGCGGCATCGCCTCCGCGCCGAGGGAGGAAGGAGCCGGCGGGCTCGCCCAGCCAGGCCGGGCCCACCCGGATGCAGCGCCGGCCCCCCACCCCCGGCGGAGGGGCTCCGGAGGCACCAGGAAGGGCGTGATTCCTCCCCATCCCTCCCCCCGGGACTCAAACGGAGAATGGGGCCCAGAGGCCCCACCTGGGCCCTCCCTCCTCCACTCCGCGTTTCTCCATCCTCCGGGCCCTCCGCCGCCCCCGGAGCCTCGGCCCAGGCCTCCGCGCCGCGCCGGCCGGCCCCTCCCGCCCGCCGCCGGCCCCCTCACCCAGCATGATGGGGCTGAGCCGCCGGGCCAGGCCCTTGGACAGGTCGTACACGTAGAGCTTCACCGGGTAGAGGTTCGACGGCTCCATCGGGACCCGTGGCGGCCGCGGCCACGACGCCCCTCTGGCACCCGGCAGCGGCTCGGACCTGCCCGGACCCACCGGGGTGGGGAGCGGAAGGAGCGCGGGGGGGACCAAGCCCGGGCCCGGCCTGAGGGCGGGGAAGAGGCGGTCCTGCCCCGCTCGCAGCCCCACGCGGCTCGCGCTCCCCGCCCGCCACCGGCAACGACTACTGTGAGGTGACAGAGCCGGGACGAGCGGGGTC